GGAAGTGGAAGACCTCCATTCCGTTGGAAGGATCAGGTGGAGAACGACATGGTTTTCTAATAAGTCAATTCACCATCACGCGTAACATAAGGATGATTATCAAGTCCCGCTGCATGCACGCTCTGTGAATGGAACCAAACGTGGCAATCTCGTCAATTGTTGTTAATTTTCACCAGAAAATTTTGTTAAGCGAAGAAGCTAATTTTTGGTTAAATGGGTTACGTTCTTAAGCAAAATTGTTGTATTTGGAGTGATAATAATCTACAAGCCATTTTTGAGACATCCTAAATTAGTCACAGCTTGGTGTGATCTATGGGCAAAGGGATGGGCTTATTAGCTCGCGTTGTCGGCCTGTGCTCCGTCCCTCTAGTTCACGCTATTTAACACTGCTGAAGTATTTTTTGTGTGGTTATGTGAAGTGGCTTGTTTATGCATGTATGCCCCAGACGATTGGCGCTTTGGAAACGAGTATTCGGCACGTTTTTTCTGCCAAAAGGCCCCATAAAAGGGGTCGGAAACTATGAGCGAGCGTTTGCCTGAGTTCATTTTTAAAACATAATCGCAAACCTTTCTGTTTATAAGAAAGCTGATTTCTTAAACACCCCTAAAAAATCTCTTTCGATAATTTACCCGACCCGAAAAAGGGTGTTAATAATGATGCAGATAACGCTAGAAAAGTGCTTCTTCTTTGTCGTAGAAAATCGGCTATTGCGATTATTCTCTAAGCAGTTCGGCGCCAAAAAGGGAAACCAAGTGAGGACAACCCATTTTCTACATGATTTTCCAACGGAGTGGAGATCTGCCGCTTTCGCTGCATCTACCAGCAGGTACTGTATCGTATGGTTTCAAAGATGTGATTTAATATGAAATTATCTAAGAATTCAAAGTTGTTATTGTCATGTGAGGCATTGGAGCCAAGACGCGAAGTCGCTGACCGTCTATGTAATGTCAGGAGATATTTCCTCTTGTTCTCGTTGGCGTATGTATATGCATAAGTATTTAAAAATATATATTGATTACTTGCCAGCGCACACAGATTTGCCTTGATTTCAGTGCTAATAACAACAAACAGCCAATTATTATATATATATATGTATATATATATATTAGAGTGTGTATGTATGTAAATAACAGATGAAGGTGCAGCTGTATAAGAATGGTTTTCACTGAGAGCCAATGAGATTCATCTTTGGCAGCTCTTCATGGCTTGCAGCACACAACGGCAACAACAAGAGCAACAATGCCTCACCATATTTGTTGAGCGCAACGATTTGAAATTGAAAATTTAATTTTCCTTCCCAATCAGTTGCTTCCGTTTGCGCGCTCGAGTGTGTTGAAAGCGCGAATAAGCAGAAATGAATTATGACGAGATAATATACATATACATATATACGAAAGTATTAATATATAATACATACATATGTATATGCTCATAAATTTAAATACATATTTGTATATATATATGTAAGTGCAGTTTATGAAAAGTGTGTATTTAAGAATGTGTCCTTATGCCGAGATAAATATTTATTTCTTATTTTTTCATTATTTCGCAGTGGGTGATAAAAATTAAATGGCGTAGGCTACATTCGAAAATGTAGATATTTCCGTCAAGCTATTGGCGTTTGGAAACTCAAATGTGTGATTTAAGAAAAAAAATTGAATACACCCAGTCAACAATATTCTTATATATTTTTATATAATATACGTTTAGTTATGGTAGCAATAGTAAAGCAATAATAACATTTTTTTAATTAAGTCTTTTAACTTAATTTTTTAGGAAATCTTAAGTTTTATTTAAAAAACACTAATTTTTATAGAAAACTAATACGAGTGCTGGAAAAATTGTTAAGAATATATATATATATAATTGGCCGTTCGTAAGCGCGAAATGAAGGGCTTACAGTTTATTGCACTCTGTAACCACTGATGCGATTTTCGGCCGAGCTCCTCCTTCAATTTGGGGTTTTTCGTCATGATGTTCTTCCAACCTACAATTTATACTAAGCCGTCTCCGAACGGCTGATAGCTTTTTGTGAGAAGCTTGGATTTTGATTTTCATGTCAGAAATACAATTGGAGGACTTGACATTGCATGCCGAGAAGATCTATAATATTTTATATGAATTCGCTCCTCGTTTACAGATAAATTCTTTTATTGATGATTTTTTTTGTAATTAAGGGACACACCTAGTGTAATGGCCTAAAAAAAGGTGATTTTTGGGAATTTTTATTAAAAAATACTTTATCAGTTATTTCAAAATTTTTAGTGAAATTTTTGAAGAAAAAAATTAAATATTTTTTAAGTTATAGTCGATCTCCAACGGCGCGAAAAAAAAGGTCCTTCACTGCTGCAGTGATTCCGAACTTCTACGTTTTTGAAATCTAAAAAACAAATTCTCTACTAGATAATATTGTCTGTATAATGACCTACGATAAAAAAAAAATCAAATATTAACAATATGACGGCGTTTTAAAAAAATAATCGAATTTTACGCAAAATTTTGGTCGTTTTTGGCCTGCCAAAATTCGATTTTTTGATCAGATCAAAAATCGATAGGTCATTGTACAGAGAACTATATATAGAACATGCAAACAAAATTCGACAGTGATCGGATCATTTGTTTTTGAGCAATCACTGCAGCAAATTCGGAAAATCCTGTTTCGAGAAAAACGCGTTTAAAGATAAAATGATCGTTTTCACTCGTAGCTAATGAGACTCTCTAGCTGCCGAGCGGCTGCTCTTTAAATTGCTATAACTCAAAAACTATTTGAGATATCGATTTGATATATTTAATATGATATTTTTTTTAGGTATAAAGAGAAGTAAAATAAAATTTGCCAATAAGGATAATAATCGAACGATACGAGCTTCCATGATAAAACTGTAGTGCTTCTATTCCAGCCAGTATTGGAAAGGGTTCAACATTTTTATGATATTTCAAAATATGTATACATCGGCCATAATTTTTTTTGAGCAAATCATATATATTTCAAAATATCTTTAATAAAACAAAAAATGTTGGATTTTCCATGGAAAAATATTGTTTCTATTTTCAATGGACTTTAATGCTCTTCATATCGGTCTGTTTTTTGACGTGTAGTTTTTTGGAAGAATGAAGAAATAAATCGCATATAGTATAAAGCTATGAACCAGAATTTAGCTTCATTATAAAGCTAAGAGTTTGCCATTATGCCTTAAAAATGATTTCAGGCAAGTAACTGCCGCGACTGACTCGAATAAATTCCCGTCGAAAAGCCAAATTTTCGACCACTTTTTTCCATGTGTCAGCATTTTTTTTAAACAGTAGTATTTTATTATTTGATCCGCTTCGACAGCGGAAGCTTTACAGTAAGTAAGTAATAAAATCATTAACTAAGCTAAAACATAAAAGCCCAGACGTTGCTCTTTAGAAGGCTGATTTTATCTCTTCTACTCAGACGAGTTTGATTTGTCGTAGGCCAAAGTTTTAGAGCAAGGGTTCGTTTGTTTATATAAGTTTATGGTTTCTGATGTTCTTTGATGGTATTGAAAACCGTTCCAAGACAAAGAAGAGCCATGTTTTGAAGCTTTTTAAGTATTTTTGCTGTTATAGGATTTTTCGGCTCTAATAAGGAAATAACATTTTTCAGTTCAAACTTTGGTGATCCGCAAAATTTTAATGACGGAGCTACATTATTTATAGCAGTATTTCGTTGTTATACCGATACTGAGGTGCACTGCAAAACAGATCATATTTTCTTCATCAGTTGAGGCGCATAAGCCAGTGTCAGCGGTGCTCAAGTATTTGGTGCCGGCTTAAAATTTTGTAAGCTCTTCAAAGCGATTTCTCAGTAGAAGCGTTAGTTGAAAAAGACGATAAATGACTTTTTATAGTTTTTCTTCCATCTTAATGATACTTTCAGTATTTTTTCTGCCATCTTATGTCAGGATTTTGCATCGGGCGATCGTTAAACTTGCCCGTAATGCCGCAAGTGCCGCTTGTTTCGAATCAGCAACACGATTTCGCTGTTAGCGATAATTTTTACGGTCTTTAACTGGCTTTTATAATTCGGTATACCAATAGTTGCTACTGCCGCTAGCACACCGTTAAATATTGTACAAGTAACGAGGTACTATCTATGTCATGTTCACTCTTCAGTTCCCGTTTGGTCTGTACGCGAGTGCTTATTGTTGTTTTTTTTTTATATTTTAGTCAGTTAGTTCTGGATGTCATAAGACGAAAATGACTTTCAAATGGCTCTTCATTACAATTTTTAATTACTGGAGAAAGATCTGAGGATAGGTCTGTATAGACTTCAACAATTACTAAATTCCTATCTACGAATTTAGTGACTAAAAATCCTATCATATCGGGTAGTTTACCTCGGGTCTGTAGGCTATTAAGTTGGTTCTCTTGGGGTAATAAAATCATAACGATTTGAAAACGTTGTTCCGGATTTAGTCTGTTATAAATCAAGAAGTAAGAGCCGCCCAACCAACTTGCCGACCTTTTAACCTCTTAATTGCCTTCTGAGTTTGTTTTTTTTCTACGGAATTTTCGAAGTAACTGTCAAAATGGTTGATTAAGATGGAAGCTAGCGTGCTAAAATCTTCAAAGAAATAAATTTCTCGTAAAGTTTTAGTATCTCGCCATTAATTTCTCATTTTCACAATTTATTCTTTTTATTTAAAACCTTTATCTCTACATCATGAGAACTTGAAGAAGCCACGAGCCGAGTTCACTTTCAAAAATCCATTTGCTATTTTTTGTGTGCACTTTAAGAAAACTCCGAACTCATTTGAGTTGTCCTTAATTTTTCGCATATTATTTTTTTTTAATAAACTGACATCATCAGGTATAATAATTATTGAAAAATATGTGTTCCAGATAAAAAACTAAAACTAATTCCTTTATCTTTCACTTACATGCCGATATTGGCTTTCTGTTTGACTAAAAAACTTATTTGTTGCATGTTTTTATAATTTAAACAAGTCAAATTTTATTAACTTCTGTCACTTACCTTACAACGTGCTTGTGTCGTTCAACCCAATATTTAATGGCACTGCGCACCATCATCTCCTGCTTTCTGGTCAAACCATTCGGATTGGTACCATTCATGCCATTGAAGGTTTGTAACGTTGATGGTGCACGAAACTGTGCGCCCCAATCTGCTTTGGAGCTGTAAATGCCACTAACGTCCAGATCAGTGGGTTCCTTCTCTGTAGTAATGATAAAAAAAAATAAAAAAAAAAAACAAAGAAATCATGTGATAAAATATGGAAATCACATTTTTCGTTATAAAATGCATTTTCACTGAGGACACGAAACTATTAAAAGGATATGCTGCAAACTATCGATCGCCTCAGAAAATATTGTGGCGAGTTCATACGAAGCGGAAGAACCGTCTCTTTGCAGATAGTTGTGATAATTTTTAACGGATAATTCTTTCATGACGCTGTGTTAAAGGTATCACACTGCCTTCGCTCAAAACGTTCTTGCCTTTGTAAAAGTTAAGCGCTTGGAATTGTTTTTATGGCAGCACAGAAACATTGTCGTCCAGTATTGTCGCCCCCATACACATAGAGAAAGAAATGGTGTGGCAGACGAACTAAGCCTATTGCCACATAAAATTTTTTCCTACCAGGAAAGTGCAGCCCAAAGAATATTCTTACGACGAACCCGCACTGCAACTTGCAGCAAATCAAACCAAAGTAATGAATTGAAATCGGGAGAGCTAGAAAGGAGGGTGTCTGAGCTGTAATAGGAATCGTGGGAGGCATTACTTCATGGAACAATATTTGAGTTCCCTTAACAGAGCTTGCCCAACTGAAGGATGAATGGAAGGCAAACTATTGCTTGATGATTTCTCTAGGATAGCAGTCGTGAAGCTAAATAAACCAATAAAATTAATAAGATAATCTAAGAGCGTCTACATAGTAATATCACAGCGGATTTACTATAGTCTATGTGGACTGATGCTCCGGAATAAAAGTATGCAGACCTTGCCCATATACTTTTTGAAAACACATTCGCGATTTATTTGGTGCTTTATAACCATTAAATCGATTTTCAGCCGAGCTCGACATTTAAACAAAAGTGCAGGAACTGTAAATTCTAAGCCACCACCGAATAGCTGATGGATTTTTAGGAGGAGCTTTGAATTCATGGCGAAAATACACAAATTAGTTTTCTATAAATTTTGGTCGAATCAGGACTCGAATATTGGCCACTCGGCTATTGTGGACCACACAGGCATTGCTATATCAACGAAAGAGTAAGTGAGTGAGATCTTTATGAACGGGGTAGTCCGTAAGCTTAGTGAAACTTTCAAAAACTGGCTGTGACCAATCAACTTTTCTGGTGCCCGAAATGCAATATGTTTCAGTGTAATACCAGTTTTGTGGGCAAAAGGATTTCGGATCCGGTCTGTTATCACTTTTCTGTAGTAAAGAGAGTTGTCCTATGCGACTCTTCGTTAAACTCTCTATCACCTGTGAGCTATCTACTGCATGTACCCCGGCCAACGAAGGGAATGAATTTCTTATGAAGGGGACATAACCCTGCAGGAACGCTCCAACTCTACTCAATCTCTCTACTCTTAAGTGTTAAATACTCACCCTCATTATTTATCAATTCCGATTTAGAATTGGCCGATAGCGAACGAAATAGTGCAGCCGAATTTGGCCGATAGGTGTCCAATGAGGCTGACAGCTCCATCAACGGTTTCATGATACCTTTCAGGTGTTGTAACTGCTCGCAGGCGAAAATCAACCACGAGCAAAAGAGCACATCACATAAATTAGAGTGAACCATAGAGAAGAGCAGATAGTAGCATTGAAAAGCGAAACTGATTATGTAAAACATGCCCGAGCCGGCATTCCACGGGTAGAAGGATTTAATGGGCAAGCGTGGAATTTCAACGGTTATTGAAGAGTTGGTATCCTTGTCGAAGGCAAATTTAACGCTCTCACCGAAGAATGTAATAGTAGTCCAAGCTGGCATAAAATATGTGTGGAAGCATTCAAAAGTTATTTCAAACCAATTTAGTTTTATGTATTGTATATACGAGTATATATGTATGTACAAATGTCTGTTTGTCACGCTTGAAGCGCACTTACCCACAGCTGAAACGACGGTGGTGAGCATAACCAGCGTGAAGAGCTTTCGCATTTTGGCGAGCGCAATCGAGTGGTAGCGCGCATCCGACTCGGCGAACAATGGATGCGAATTCACTTGATTCCATATATTCAACGTTCTGCAATTAAAACGTAATGAATTTTATAGCAAGCAATTAAACTTCTTACACAATCGAGGGTGGTGGGCGCAAACAGCTGCGGCGCTGTAAAACTTGATTGTGCGGCTAATTAAACGAGTTCACGCGTCGGCGGAAGTAGCAATCGGCATGGCTGCTGGGAGCATTGCTGCGTCACGCTCCATTTCACTTGCACTAAGTCGACCATTGAATTGCTTCGATTCTTTCATTCGATTGCTAGTCACCCGCTTCACGTACCTAACTCCGCTGGCTCTCATTATATCTCATATATAAACATTTCCGCAACTTTGTGAAATGTTAATCCACTTTTTGCCACTCTTGCCGCCCACTTCCCATTACTAGCACCACATTTATGTGTTGTGGAATATTATTATTTTATGTTTTTTTTTTTTGTTGACACTACTCACCTGTAGAACTGCTTCTGTGTAACGGCCAAATAGATGAATTTCGTTATGCAATGAGTGAAGAAGAGCACGGTTATTGTATTGCCGGACAACTCATTCACCTCCTCCGCATTTAATGCCAAATTCACCAGTATCAATAGAAATTGCACCAAAACCAAAACCAAATGCATGGATGAGTAAATTTTCTTAAAGAGTCCGGAACCGCCAGTGAAGTTGTGCATGAACAAGCCCGAGTACTTCATCAGACGTATGTTCGGCATCAAATCGGCCACGAGGCCAACATATTTACTCGGCTGCATGTTGACTTATCGAGTGTAGTGTAGTGAGCTGATGGTGAGAAAGGTGAGAAAGGCACGGATAATTTCTTTTCAATGCATACTCAACAATTGCCGTGTTCTGTTTGACACGCTTTCGCCCTTAAATGCGCATAATTTCTCTGTGAACATACGGTTTTCAAGAAGAAATAAGACACATATAATTTTAATTTAATGGTGGCCCCAGTAACGGAGTGGTTCAAGTCTTGGTCATAGCAAAAAAACTATTTCTTTCCAATTGCGGACTTCGGTCGGCAGCGAAAGTCAGACACTCCGCGTATATTTCTGTTATAACACAAAATCTTCTCATGAGAATCTATTGACCGTTTGGAGCCGGCTTAGAATAAATTGGAGGTCTCTCCATTTATTGAAAAAAAAAAATATCGTTCCTGATCCACTACCCCCTAGAAAAGATGGTCTTTGTATCAAACTAAGCAAAAAACAACCTACTCGAATGCCGCGAATTTTAACTAAATCGAATCAGAAATATGATATTTTCCATTTGATCGGGCTCTGATCCACTTCTCGAATTTTCCTTACATACTCTTGTTGCTTGGATGGAGACCAATCCGAATAATAGAAGTCGCTCTAGGCATCGTTTAGTTATACATAGACACATTTTTTTGGTAAGAAAATATTGTTTCCACTGTTTGAAATGCACTGTTGTAGTAATAAATAAAAGTAAAAAGCCCGACTTTACAACAGTAGGTTTACATATAGATTGGCGAACACCTCTAAATCTATTCAGATGCTTTTGACAGCAGCATGAGGTCGCTGCTGCACTCTTTCAAAATTTAAGCAGATAATAATTTCTGCCCTTTAACAACATTGCAGACGTTTCCATCGACCATGGTGCAACCTAATATACCGACGAGAAGCGATTACCCCCTGCGGGTTAGGGGCTCAAGAATTTACCCGCGGTAAGGCATGCCTGTCGTAAGAGGCGACTAAAATCCAATAGTTCTCGCGACAGTCGGGTCTTTATACCGGAACGACCCGGATTTTTATCCGGCCAAGGACTGTCACTCCCGCAACATTCCCCAAAAAGTACTTTGGGGAATAATTTTGTGGTTACAACAACAACAACAACGAGAAGCGATTGATAAGCTCGCGACCCAGGGTAGTTAGAGACATCTTCTCGATACTGATAATTCTTATTGTGGAAATCATTTTTAGTATAAAAACAAAACTTTTTTGTGAGGTTCATTAACATTTCGTTCCCAGAACAACAAACAATACTATGCCAATGGAAAGTGGAAATTCTCGCAATTTGGGGGATCGCGCTGCGATTCAATTCCCTGTAAAAAAAAAGCATTTCTTTCAGCGATTTTTAGTGAGATGTAATCGGTTCTTCAGCTCTCTTCCCCTTAATAAGCGATGGTAAAAAAATACGCACGGCTGTTTCAACAAGAAAGAGAGACCTGTAAAGATGACTTCCGCCCGGGGCGCTCAGTGATGGTCGTGTCCGAGAAAATTGTTCAGAAAGTCGAAAAATTAGTACTGTGTGATTGAGGAATTAAATGGTGGCAAATAGCAGAAGATTTACAGATTAGCTAAGAACAAGTTGGGATGATTTTGAAAGAGTATTTAAATATGAATGCTCACGCTGCTCGACAGGCAGTGACGATTGCATAGTTCTGTACATTTTTTGGACTTGTGCCAAGATGATTTGTATGAAATGTGCAACTGCATTGTAACAGTTGATGAATCTTGCATTCGTGAGTATGATCCACATTCCAAACAGGAGTCACCAAAAATATTCAAAGTGGAAAAATCGGGGTCGAAAATTAAGACTATCAGGAAGAGCGAGAGAATATTATTAATTGATAACTTGCCAAAGGGAACTGCAATGAACGAGGAGTAGTAGGCTTATTTGTTAAGTCAGGCGCGTCATGCAGTCGTACAGAAGAGACATGGCAAGTTAACGCGCGGAGTGCTGTTTCTTCAAGACAACGCATCCATTCACATCGTTTGGGTTGCCTGGTATGCCCTAAAAACTACTTGCTTTACAGAAATTGACCATCCACTCTATAGTTCGAAACTGGCTGCCAGTGACTTTGTTCCTTTTTTTTCAAATTTAAACATTTTCAGACGACAGTATAGGTATAGATAGGAAACCATTTTGAAGAGAAATCTATTAAGTGAAAAGTGTATTACACTTGAGGGAGACTATACCGAAAAATAAAAACCTATACATTTTATTCACTAAGTATTTAAGGTCCCGAAGAAATCAGTCATCCCTCGCATATACAAGGGTAATATTTTTATTAAGAATTTTTTTTTTAAATTTAGAATTGAGCTTTAAAAAATTAATACTTTTTGTCAATACTCGTAGTTAAAAATTTAAATAAATATATTAATGAGTCCCGTTCGAAGTGAAAAATAAAATGCCCCATTTTCGACCCAAAATTTGGCTTCCTCTACCGTTACACGAAAAGGAAGCTAAAAAATTTTATAGAAGATTTTCTGTGTGTCTTTACAAGATATTTATCGAATTTTGCTAAAAAAATATTTTTACTGTTACTCAAATTTTTTTATTTGTTGCCATGAATTCCTACTGTGTGCTGACAACACTTTTGAAAAATACGAAAACTTCGATAATTTAGTAACTAGCTCTGCAGTTGTATTAATATTTTTTTTGAAGATTGCATTAAGTTGTCAAATAAAAAGAATGGAAAATGATTACTTTTCCTTGGACCTTCTGGGAATGCTACTTAAGGGGTAACATAGGTCTTGAAGGCCAAAAAAAGCTTATTTTCTATAATTTTTTTAAGAGATACTAAATAAAGTATGCAATTTATTTTATTTACATATAAAAGTACAATATGTGGACAACATTTGGTGAAAATTTGATTGAAACCCAGTATAAGTTAAGGCGTTGGCAGTGTCGTGAAGTAGAGCGTCCACAAGAAAGTGCTTTCGCGGTAGTCATGATAACTTTTTCAATTTCAATCCAATTTCTTCTTAAAATAGGTGAGTTTTCCTTGCCCCTGAACGAAGAAAAATTAAAAATATTAAAAATTTAATTTTTTTTTTACAAAAAATCGTAATTTTTTTCATAAAATTAGGTTAAATATTAGCTTGCAAAATGAGTTGAGATCAAAAATAAAATAAATCCTTCGTTCAGGAACTACAAAACCATGCTTAAAAGAAGTGTGGCAAATTTGAACTCGATCGCTTCAATAGTCGTTGAGAAATTTTGACTACCGATTGCGGTGAAGTGGTTTTAAGAAAAACGCGTTTAAAGTTTTATCATCGGTCAAGCCATGACAAAGACGGCGGGTCATAAAACTCTCGAATTTCTACAGTTTCGTCTCGAACGACTTGAGACTTGGGCAAACTATTCCTGACATTTTGTACTTTTATACAAAAAATTATCAAAAAATTGTATGTTTTTAAGTTTCAAGACCTAAGTAGCCCCTTAAGCTGCCGGGCGCTGAATATAAACATCAGTCTAGTGGCAAATGTTCATTTCAACCTGTTCCCGGCCTTCCTTGCTTGTCCTAGAAGGAGCTCTCAAACAACAAATTGAACTCATATTCATGCAGGTTTTGGACTATCCACCGTAATTATGTATATTCATATTGCTAAATTGTTTTTTTTGTTGTTTTTTAAAAACAATTTTTAATTTTTGAAAACAATAATATAATATTCACCTTCAAACACTACTTAAGTAGATTTCACAAATTAATTATTATAATATGATTTTTTTTTTTAATTTTAATTCATGCACATATCACACGGTTTTTTTATTGAATTTCATAACTTTTTCTATTTGTGAAATTTTTCATTTTCATTGTTTGAACTTTTAAGTAAATATACTTATATATATTTTTTAAAATTCACTTAAATTGTTTTTGATATTAGCTTTTTTTCAAAAATATTCACTTTATTTGAATTGAAAAACGAAGTTAAACAAATATTTATTTTTTACTACTGTAAATTTCACAAAAATTTATAAATAAATTCCATACAAATTTGCTACCAATCAAGAGCAGTTATTACCAACGGCCTACGCGTCTGTCACGAAAATGTGTCAACAAGCCGATTGACTGAGAATTTTCTACAAAAACTTTACATTACTTTAAAACGCCAAATCCATCGAACGCCAACAGCACGTTTTCTCACAGACTAGATATGCGCGTTTATATGTGCATTTACAAAATATCAGGCGACGAGCGACGTGTCCTTTATAATTTAATTTATAATGGAAACAAAAACAATGCACGAAAATTGAAATAAAAAAAAAGAAAAATATAAAGACATCAGTTCTCACAGTCATTAGAAATGGGCAAAATCACTTGGCTTTGTTTATGCGCGTGAGAACTATTTGTATTGTACGTATTTACATATGAACTGATACACATCCCTGCAGGGGAAAATACTCGTTGTCAACTAGAGTACAACTAAATTATGTTTTTACACCAACTCGTTCATCCACATCCATTTTCCATGTAAGCAAGCTGAAAATTGTCCTATTATGCATTAGCTTCATACTAGTTTAATACTAGTTCATTTAGGCATGATGAATTTCTATTTCACCAAAAAAAACAAAAAAAGAAACAAAAAAAAAGAACTAAATCAAATAGAACAAAGCAGAGAATGGAATTCAGCCGCGGTCTGCAGATATATTGACAACAAAAAGTGGTGAAAATTGTTATTGCTCCCGTTACTGGTGGATTTTTCTACAAATAACGTACTGGTATGATTTCATCTTCAACATACTAGTATTTAACTTGAATTTTTGCATACTAGTTGGTTTTTCCCCTAAAGGGAAATATAATTGTACGTACATACGTGTACATATATATGCATACAATAATCCGAATCAATCTGCACTGTCTTGTTTGCGGTGGAACAGCATTAGTGATCTGTATGTGCGTCTGTGTGTGCGTGTATATGTGCAAGCATTCGGCCTCATTTGGGTTAAGTAGCCTAATGCGGTATTTGCTAAGCCGTTAGTTCGAAGGAACATCAATTAAAGCCAGTTTTTGCGGCACATCATATCACTTGAGCGCCTTAGCAAATATGCAAACAAGCAGACAAGCAAACAAGTGCACACACATATGTTTATCTACATATGCCCACATATATACACATACACATCAGACATATATGTATATAGAGATAAGTGCTCGTTCCACATTGACCCTTTGATATTGATATTGAATGTTGGAAAAAGGTCATTAAAAATTCTTTTAAATATCGATCAATTTGCTTAGTATTGAATATAAATACATATTTATTATATATGTAATATACATACGTACATACATACACATGTACTCAAATGAATATGAATATGTGCCGTGGTCGTTAGAACGTATGCGCTGTAGTCCCAAAATTCCCACAATTATTGAACACAAATACACAAATTAACTTTGGATTATGCGGATATACAAACTAACATATTTACTTTTGTACATATATATATATGTGTATGGACTATACTTAAAGTACTATTATTGATTGTGTGAAAGATGGCGATATTTGTATCGACTTCGTTACTCGAGACTCTTCGCTGTGCAAAAGATATTTGAGTTTTCTGTATGCGTATGCGTGTGTGCGTGTGTATTTACATGTGTGGTAACATTGAAGGACACGTAATGGCGGTCAAGTGAATATAAAATGTAAAATTCATAAAATAATATTTGTATTGGGTATTAAAATGGGGCTAAACCTAAACACGTACATGGTTTTTATTTTTATTTTTTTTGGTCTCTGTGGTAGTTGAGCTATATACCGCCCGCAAACACCTTCTCCGCCTGATTTTTCCAACGGAGTGGAGGTCTTCCTCTGCATCCAATGACTGTTACTGCACTGAATGCTTTTGGAGCTGGAGAATTTTCAGCGTCGCCACTGTATTTTGATTCACTGAACTGTGTCACTGCAGACCGCAATAGCCGAGTTGTTAGCATTACGTACTAATATAGGGTGGAGCAGAGGTTGAGTCTTGGTTCGGAAAACCTTCGGAATGGCAAACCCTTCGTATGTAAGCAGAGGACCATAAATCGTCGGCGAAACCTTCCTATTGAATTTTCGCAAAGTTGATATTGTAAACATCCATGCTTCTGCGCTACGGGACAAGACGGGAATGGACGGGAACGTGGAGCGGTTTGTAAAGCATAGATTTTGTTCATTCTCTCGATTGCTTACTCAGCCTAAAGTAGCACCGGTTGGCAAGAGTGATTCTGTGTTGGATTTTATGATCCTTTCCGTTTGAAAGGATAAGGCGCCAAACAGTGAATAGAAAAGATGAATGGCGCGTTATAATCGATTCGGTTATAATCGCGAAAGCGTTTCCAACGCCAATAGGGAAGAAGAAGAAATAAGGCTGAATAAGTGTCTCTCCGTAAATTCGGTTTTCCCTGGAAGTCACTTACCTAACCCTTTAGCTTGTTCCTACAGCAAAAAGCACCAATCTTGATACCTTCTGACGCATGAATCAGATTTTCTGTTAGCACATCTTAGACCACTTCTTTTTTCGTCTGGTCTCCCTTTTTAACTCTCGATATCTGTTTTCATATCGTTCGTGTTGCGATCGTCTGCTCGCTGTCTATTTTCTCTTCAATGTAGAGCGACAAACTTGTTCTGCTGAGACTTTGTCAAAAACCAGTAGTTTCGTATGCATCTTTAATAGAACTGAATGCAAATCTTAGTTTCAGATTGCAACTGGAGTAGAAAGTTGCAACGCTGTTCGACGTCGGATCTTCTCTGCGCTTACTGAGGTGTACCCGTATCAGCGGCTTGACAGGTATACATTTTTGCACAATCTGAACTATGGCTTACGACGTCTTCAATAACACTCAACGTGTCAAAATTTTGGTACAGAATTTGTATTGTATTTTTAAGTGCGCTTAAGCTTGCGCTTGAATAAAGTTGGAAATTCTGAAAACTGACTTCTAAAACTTTGAGTTTTCGCCGCAACTGCAAATTGTGTAGGCAATTCGAGCGATATAAGTCCTGTTGCAGGCAGTTTATGGATCAATTTTTATAGCTAGTTCACCATACCGGTTGGTTACTGGTAAAAACAACTGGTCTACATGCTCGTCTTGTGCTCTTAAATGAAAAAATTGTGCTTGCAGTTCGAACAGTCATAAAAAAGATTCTAGACCATTCGCCTGAATTAAACATTTCGCGCCCTTCTGCATGCAGAATTTTCAATAATAATCGGTTTAAGAGCTCACCAGGTCTAATTGGGACAAAAACTAAAATTTCTTGACTGTGTGATGTGATTTCTCATCGCTCAATGTGCTAAGAATTTCTTTATAGAAAACGAACGATTTTTACCAAGAAATCATATTTCCCATTCATTTTCATTCAGCGACATTAAGAAGCTTCATGGAAGCCTAAAAACCGACACGTAGCCATGCCGTGGTTTGTTTTTCTTCGAATAAGAGAAAGGAGCTACCAGTCACGTCAACGCTGATCTTACTCCGTGCCATGCTTAGAAATTATTATTATTCTTGAGATGGACGATTACAATCGATCTTTTGCGCACTGTTTTCGAAGATTGTACAACTAGCCGAAATGGCGATGTCAATTGGCCGCCTAATCGCTACGATTCGATACAGTTGGATTATATAAAGCTGTATTGACTTCAGAGAAACTTATTTGTGCCAAAAAAAAAAACATAAATAAGAATATCAAGGTTTTTCACACTGAAATTTTCATAGAGTTCTTATGCAATTTTCTGGTTCTGTCATGAATTTGCTCGTAGCTACGATTATAGCAGTTAATTTAATTTTATTAATAATAACAGTATTTAATAGCTGTATTTTTTATGCTTGTGAAAGGATGTTCTTTTCCATAACGAGATGTGCATCTTTACTTCTACATTATATTTATTTGAAGGCTCTAGAGAGTCTGAAACACTGAAGTTTTTTCCGAAGGTGTTTGATGTTATTTCAGGTTTTTGAGCTGTATACCTTCCTTGCACGCCTGGCCTTGAAACTGCCCATCGTAGTATTTACAGCTGAGCGGAGACGGCGCTCATGATTGTGAAAATCAGATGAAAATCCTTCAATCACATTTTTTTTCTCTTCCAATCGAGTATCTTCGCAAATCAAAGTTACGCTGAAGAACCTTGTTTGGATGGGGACTTTGGTTAAACGCTCGTAGGTTAGTTTAGATCTCCAAAACTCGCTGACATAGATTATAATATGGTTCGGCTATTTTTAATGAAGTTTCTCACACGCTTATGTCTATCCAGACTATCAAAGTTCCAAATAAGCTAATTTGCTATGAAATTTCATAGCGGTAGACCACCAATGCGTATACGTAATTTACTTGTAGCGTGCTAAATTCAGATTAAATATTTCAGTTGGTGTCGAAGTGAGTCAATTTCAATATATAATTAAATTAAAAAATATTTTATTGTCAATCTTTGTAAAAGTAAAAAAAAAATTATATATATATATATATATATATAGATTTATTTCAAGCCTACAAAGGAAATAAACTAAGGTAGTACAAATAAAGCAAGCGATTCGCACACAAATCTCTCTTCCCCCTCTCACTGTTTATTACCTACGTTTTCGGTGAAGAATCTTCACTTAATCCGCAAATCAAAGAAATTGCCATAAAACAGCTATTATTTGATTGAGATAAAGTAAAGTGCACATTTATCTCCGAACGAACGAAGTTGGAGCGCAAAGAAAATCAGCAATAATCACTGCCAGATGCCCAGTGGAAGCGAGTGAAGCAAACGAAAGTGAATTTTGATTTGTCTC